GATTCGGATTTGGACACGTCCTTTGTTTAACAATCTCAAAGGCTTCGTTCACCTTACGCAATCTTCGTCGCTCCCTCATTGTGGCAGCCTTTCGACGATCCACTAAAATTATATTTTTCAATCATTTTCAATCCCACCTCTTTTGCAAATGTAGGAGAATACTTCTTCAACAAGGAACTAATTCACAAATTTCAAGTTCCTTTCAACAACCCCTGCTCTATAGCGAATCGCACCTTTCTAATATTCATTAAGTCTATTTCTCCTTACCGGCAGACGCATAAATACTTCTTTTTGCCAATCAAATTAACACGAAATAAAGTGAATTGCCCAGGAGCTTTGTCAAAAAACTTCTAGTATTACAAACTCTACTACTATTTGGTATCTCCCTTGGTCAGCTCTATTTGTTTTCTTTTAATAAATAAATGAAAGACTGATAGATCAGTCATCTAGGCGCAAGTAAGGGAAGGGCTCACATTTACTTCGTCTTGGAGGATTATTCGGGTCGGTTGTCTCCATTGCTACGTCATCCCCAGATAATGTCGACGAAGCATGGAGTAACGTATCAGCGATTGGTACATTGCCTGAAGTTAATCATTTCTGTCGAAGCATAGAATGAGTCAGAGTTAACTCACCATCTTTCTCTATTTTTATCCCAGTTGATGGGTCCTTCTGATCGGAATTCGTTGCGAAATCACCTGTTCGAGGTACAGAGAATGTGGTCAACTCAGGATAAAACGTTGACGATGTGGTTGTCTGGCCGGTATACGGCGGGTAATAGGTGCTGTACCTAAATTTTCACTGTTAAAAAGATTCTTTTAAATCCAAAATTTGAATTTTTCAACGCGAATCTTGCAACAATTTATAGGAAAGCAATGCAATTTTTCAAATAATCGGTTCAACTTGCTGATCCACTTTTTTTCTGCGTTATTTATTGACTACCGGGTTCTTCTGTTAGCAGCTGCTTCGGTCATAACTAGCGAAATCAATCAACTCGTTAACGTCATTACCGTATAGCAATGACAGAAACATCTTCACAAAAACTCTAGATTCCGCTGAGTTGGACAAGCAATGGATCTTAGCAAGAAATTCGGGCTATCAATGTTGGAGTCTGGATCGGTACTCCGACTTTCTTTAATCTTCTAAAATGTCGAATGATTTCATAACAGTGAGATTCCACTCATCTAACAAATGGTGATTAAATAATGTCAGGAGTAGTTGAAGACACATCCTTTTAACACGCAGTCCTTTCTAAAAAGAAAAGTGGTAAGGTTTGGAAAATAAAGATGTGAAAGGTTGGGTGCGTACGCTAGGAGGTAAGTTTGCAAGAGAAACCAACTAGTTTTGTTTTAGATATTCTGCGCGAAACCGAACAAAACTAAGACGAAGTGACTCAAATAAGGTCCTACCTAGCTCTTAACCTTTCTAAAGACACAAAAATGAGTTAATAATGAGGCTAGCCACATATTCAACATATTCGGTGGCTCAGACGAACATGCTACAGTGATTCTCAGAAGCTTTTACACCGCAAACA